CACACACACACACACACACACCGGATGCTCTCTCTCAGCTCGCTGTCCGTCCTGGACTCACAAGCTCGTAGCTGCCATTTTCTAAATTTACACCTGAAGAGATCAGCACAAAATTAAAGGAAACTACAGGACAGATGTTTGGTCATTAATTCAGAGTGTATCCACACCGACACGTCTACGTGGTGTAACGTCTCAGTCTGTCGTCATGTGCGGCATGATGCTCTAACAAGTTTGATTCTCACACTGTGACTGTAATTAAACAGCTCCACTGGCTCATTATGTTTCTGTCCCGTTAATGAAATCCATTAAAGTAACAAGTCTGTCAGAGAGTCGTCCTGGTGCGGACTACATCTTATACATGCTGTTGTATATATGCTAACATGGCTGTCCAGACCTGCAGTAATTGGCTCGATGTAGCTCATGTCCTCTCCTCTCCGAGAGCGAACCGAGTCAGACGAGCTTGTACATTATTGAAGAGACAGCTGCTCTCAAACCGGCTGCAGGAACAAACTGTTTTCTTCTCCGAACCCTCTTGTTGGAGATCTGCACTTTGCGTCGTAGCGTGCAACATAAAGCCGTAGACAGGCCCCGATAGAAACTGGATGACCGGTGGAGATGGAGGTGAACGGTTGCATAACTCAAGAGTTAAACTCTGCTGACTTCAGTGATTCCAATCAGACGTTAAACATTCTGCTGTTTGCGTTGATCGTCTGCCACGTTTTGGTTTTTCTGCTTGTTTGTAATGGCTGCGCTTCTCTGTGTGCAGCTCAAACATGATGAAGCACGTCGCAAAATGTAAAAGCTTCTGTTTCCACTCAGTGGTCTGTGTGTGTAATCTATCCTAACCTCTGGAAAAACACTCAGACTGGTCGTTATCCTTAGAAATAAAAACCTCAGTCAATTGAGAGGAGAAAAACAAATGTAGACTATCTTGATATTTAAGAATTGTTTTCGTTTTCCAGCTTCTCATTGACGACCATTTAATGATTGAATGATCTGAAGAAAACTTAATATTAAGGTTTTCTTTCTCTCCTCTCTTCATTACTAAAATTTACTAAAGATTAAATAGAAAAACAAAACAGAAAAACGTTAACAAAGAATATAGATGGTAATGTGATGCAGACCTGACGTCTTTGTCCCTAAACATAATGCATGTTTACTTTTAAACTAAATACATTTAATTTCACTCTAAACAATTCGTGATCTTTTAATTTTTTGTGTATTAAAAATGATAAGACTTTGTTTATTTTCATAGATAACAAATTCTTTTGACTCCTCAGAGACTTGAGCCGTCTCATGTGAATGTAATCTGTCGTCACACAGACTGAATGGTCGTTAATAGTTTGTTGTGTGTCTGTCTCTCCTCAGATGGCCAACACCACCAGTCTGAACCACATGGTGACGGGTCTGAAGCCCAACACGCTGTACGAGTTCTCCGTCATGGTGACCAAGGGCCGGCGCACCAGCACGTGGAGCATGACTGCACAGGGCACGACGTTTGAGACCAGTAGGAGACTTCACACGCACAAATAACCACACAGAACATATCCAGAATCACAGACATGTCGAACAGTAAACAACAACATGTCCGAGCTGTCGCAGCACACACAGTAAGATAGTGAAGACAGAGAGCGATTCAATAGTACAATTGTAGAAACCTGCAGCAGATTTTATTATTGCGGGAAATAAATGTCATGAGAAATTAAAAATACACAATGGACGATAATGAAATAATCACAATCATAATAATAGGAGCCCAGAATGAATTGCCTGTAATATTGTTTATGCTTCTCTATTTTATGTCTGTTCGTCTTTGTTTCCCTGTTACCGTTGTTGCTTTGCACAATATCAGAGACGACAGATAATAATTACTGAGTCAGCTGAATCAACATCATATAAATGGACTGTGTGACTGTTAAAATAACCCATAACACTGTCACCATAGCGATTTAAAGTACTTTTTAAAAGCCACCAGCCGTTCCGTATTGAAAATACACAACGCCCTGGTTATTGGTGTGTGATTTGTGCAGCGCTCTGGACCTAATGGACACTAAAATTTGCAAGCTGGAAAGAATCGGAGCCCATTCTTCATCGTAAGGTGTAATTGCTGAGCTAAAAGATTCACAATAAACCTAAAAACTCATTTTCTTTCAAACCACTTCTTCATCTGCATTATTGGATTGAGATTTAGTGGACTGGCACTGGAGGGGAACATTTGGCTTTCTCTCCTGTGCCAACAATGCAGCGGCCGCAGGCATTATGTCTTTTGGGTTTGTCTGTCCTTCTGTCCTGTTTCTTCAAATTCAGTAGAAACATTCACCGGGACTCAAGGATGGACTGATTAGACTTTGATAAGGATACGTGTCACTATAGTGATGAGTCCCAGTTCAGCAATAAAGAACAAATTTATTCCATTTATCAGGAGTCTGTTGTATCAGTGATCAGCGGCTCTGGGTCTAAAGGAAGGGCGGGTCATCCACAAATCAGAAGGTCGGTGGTTCAAAGTGTCCTTGAGCAAGATACTTAACCCCAAATTGGTATTTGATAGAAAAGGTGCAGTGTATAGTAGTGCTGTATAAATGTGTGTGTGGAAGTTGGCTGGAAAAACGCACACATCCAGAAAAACCTTTTTCTCTTTTGATGAAAACAGCGATGATAAATCAAATGTTCTCGTATTTTAAAGGAGACAGTTTCTATTTCTGTAGTCAGAGGTTTGTTTCACACGTTTTCAAGTGGATGGTATCTACTGTTTAATCACACTTGTGCATATACTCGCAGTGAAGTACAAACACTTCATTACGGTGCTACTCAAAGATGCACATGGTTTACTCATATGTTGCAGTAGACGTTTGCAGTGAATCTACCATGTTGTTAAATTTAAAACTGAACAAAGCGGGTTTCTTCTTGATCTGACCGACCGCCTCATCGTCTCTACAGTTCCCAGCTCGTCTCCGAAGGACGTGACTGTGGTGAGCAAAGAGAACAAACCTCGCACCATCATCGTCAACTGGCAGCCGCCCTCCGAGGCCAATGGGAAGATCACTGGTGAGTCTGAGAACCTGCTGTGTTCGCTGGAAAATGTCAGATGTCTGGCTTCCTGTTTTTTAACTGTTAGGACCTCTCTGTAAAGACTCTCCACAAGATATATGTACATTTTCAGACTTTTTCTGCTGCAGTGGTGAGAGAGAAACCTCTGTGTCTCATCTATTTTGGAAGAACAAAGTCAAATATCATGAAAAAAACACTGTATTTTAAATCTTCTGATACCTTCGCTGTGGCAGGTTACATAATCTACTACAGTACGGATGTAAATGCGGAGGTCCACGACTGGGTTATTGAACCGGTGGTGGGAAACCGCCTGACGCACCAGATCCAGGAGCTGACGCTGGACACCACCTACTACTTCAAGATCCAGGCCCGCAACTCCAAGGGCATGGGCCCCATGTCTGAGGCCGTCAACTTCCGCACTCCAAAGAGTAAGTTCACAGGATCAGGACCAGACCAAGATGGAAACTGCGTCTTAACCGAACCGCAAGTTGATATTTTAAAGTCAAACATCCAACAGCTACACAGACATCAGGACGGATATTTTTCATACAAAACCTTTCTCCCATTTTCTAGTAAAACTTCTCCTGAGGAAGTTTATGTGAGAACGTTTCTTAAGAGCTGAGTTGGGAAAGTTTCCTAAACTTTGTTGATCGGTTTGGGACAAATTTTAAGTTTAGTCAGCAAATTTGTCCCCAACTTTACTTTGGTGCCGCTGCTGACACTTTCTTTTGTTTTTATCTGAGTAGTTAAATAAGGCTTCGTCTCTTTAACAACATTTTTAGTCGCGAGATGTTTAATAAAATATTGTCGGACCTTTCTCCTGGATTTGTCGGAAGCTTTTATAGTTTTAATTTAGATGCTTTGCTCTTAATCTCAGTTTGGCTGTTTCTAAGATTCACTCTTGCTGTTTAATTTTTCTCACTGTTTCTCATTCCTCTCGTTTTGCACCTCTCCTCCTCACAACCCCCGACTCTTGCTTAGTCTGTCCCTCGCTGCTCTTTTTCAGCTAACCTGTTTTTTGCTTTTTATTGTCTCTCCCTCCCTGCTCTCCTTTGGCCTGTTAAGCTGAGTCCTCTGACAAAATGGCTAATGACCAAGGTAAACTCCCCCTCCACACTTTTTTATCTTTCACCGCTGGCTCTGCTCCTCCAGTGTCTCTCTCTCTCTTCCTAAAGATTTCCATCTTCTGGGCTGATGAAAACTTGGGCTGCATGACCAAATCAGTTTGTGTTTTATAGGAATTTTTGAACTGTGATGTATCTCATGAAGGTTTGAGGCCATAAAAACATTTTTTCTTTGTATCAGCCTCCAATCTTCCACCGAAGCAGGGGCCTCCAGGCAACCAGGACCCACAAGACCATGGGACGTCAGTTGGTAAGGTTTTCCTCCACTGTCCTGGTCAGATGTCATGTTTGTCAGTCAGACTCTACAGCAAAGACGAACACAACGTTCCTTCTCTCTGACACTGCATTTTGAAATCTGCAATTTAGACATATTTCTAGCTCCATATTTTCATGATAGTTGGATGTCGTTAGTAATTGTCCAGTGTCTTTAAACCAGGATCCTGCACACGTCCCACAAAACTCCGTAATAGACCCAACCCGTTACCTGCAATTATCTCCAAGTCATCCATTAACATAAGCTTTATGGACGCCTTGTTCTCCTGTTTTGGTGGCTGAGTTGTGTTCTCAGAAAAAAGTATCTATCAATTGTCGCAGCTCCTACAGTCGTGTTTTCTAGGTTTTCTTCAACGTCAGCAGTGACATGTATCTGAGCAGAGGTGACGTGGTCAAAGTGTCTTTTACACAAAAACAAATTCATGTGGCTTACTGGGTTTCATATGAGTTGATTGAGATTTAAAAATTCTGCATATGGCATAGTTTTAATTTTAAAAACCGCGATAAGTTCATTTTTACCTGAGAATTTATATAAATTAGATTTTGTATCCATTACATAACTTGGTTGTATGCCTGGCTCTTCGACCCGGTGCAGGACTCTGCTTTAAACCAGCGTGTAGGATTTAGGGGGCTCAATTTGCAGACTTAGAACATAGTATTCATAATTATGTTTTCATTTGTATTTACTCATTATGAATTAAGAGCCCTTGTGTTCTAATTAGCTAAGAATGAGTCAAACACTAGGTCCCGAGTCTTTAATTGTTTTGATGTTACCTGGAGGCCACCATAGGTTCTCCTCCACATCTGGAAAAAGAGGGGTGAAGGGAGGTTCACTCAGTTTCTCGCAATCTGCAGCCTCACCGCTAGATGTCGCCAGATCCTCCACACAGGGGTCCCTCTAGAGAGGTATTCATGAAAGCAACTTGTCTAATCTAATCTTTCTCCTCTTGAGGTAAATCAGGGGTGGGAAGCAACAGTGAGAATCACATCGTGGTCATCATCATCATCATCTCAGTGGGAGCCTTCACCATCATAGTGGTGGTGGTTGGCGCCTTCCTGTGCACACGACGCACCACGTCCCACCAGAAAAAGTAAGACGCTCAGGCACAAACTTTACTCACCTACAGCTCAACTCCTGTGTCCCCTCTTCCTCTTACTATGGCCACTCTCTCTGTAAACGCCGCCAGTCTTTCACCGTTGCCTCTGCGTTCTCCTCTGCAGAAAGCGAGCCGCCTCCAAGTCCTCCAACGGCTCCCACAAGTACAAGGGAAACGCCAAAGACCTGAAGCCGCCCGATCTCTGGATTCACCACGAGAGGCTGGAACTCAAACCCATGGACAAGTCGCCAGACCCCAACCCAGTCATGACCGAGACGCCCATCCCCCGCACCTCGCAGGACATCACGCCTGCTGACAGCGGCCTGGACAGCAACCCCCACCTGCAGCAGAGGCGCAACTCCTACCGCGGTCAGTCTTGGGGGGGGTGGATTAATATTTGATTGTATGAGAAGGAGATCAAAGTGAAATGTCACTTCTGAGTTCCCGTGCATCATAATTCTGAGCAGATCTCTGGAGTTCAGCTGGAAAACAGGAAACTACATTCAAAAGATTTCATAAGAATTGTGTTCGGGTTTGATTCCAGGGGCGTGAAAGGAAGAGTCTGGGAGAATTTGGGATGTTTTTGTCTCACAAGTCAACACTTGTCCTTCCTGTTGTGTTTGTTCTGATTATCATGCAAAACATTTCATGCTTTTCATACGCACAGCGCCCATTACTTGTCATGATTGCAGTGCTGCGAGCACAAACTGTCACCACTGCAACTAAGTACAGTGGAAGCGCTCAATATAATTAGCTCACAACATAATGTGACTGACAGAAATGTAATTAAGGACCCTGAGGTCTGTAGATGGATCATTTCACAAAAACAAAATTGAGCAACGCAGAGTAGCCGCTCTTTCTGATTGGCTGGTTTCCATCGTACCTTTTAGGCCACGAGTCAGAGGACAGCATGTCAACACTAGCAGGTCGACGAGGGATGAGGCCTAAAATGATGATGCCTTTTGATGCGCAGCCACCTCAGCGTAAGTGTGCGTGTGTGTGTGAGAGAGAGAGAGAGAGAGACTGTGTTTTTCTGACAAACAGGATAATGAAGGTCAATTTGGAAAATTGACTTTAAATGTTGAAATTAAAGCTCAGAGATATTTCTAACAAATTGCCAATTTCTAAAAATATTTTTATGCCAAATCAAATGCCAAAGTCTATTTCATGCTTCCCATACAAATTTTCATTTTCTGAATTTCCTCCCTCATGAATTTGCCGACATATAAGCAGAATATTGAAGTGTGTAAATCGAAGAAAACTGCATGTGTGTGTGTGTGTTCACCATTGATACTTCCACTTCCTTCATCATTATTACAGCCGGTTAAACATCTCATTTTGTTTCTGTGTGTGTGTGTTTGTGTGTGTGTGTGTGTGTGTGTGTGTGTGTGTGTGTGTGTGTGTGTGTGTGTGTATCCATGTCCACTTCCATCCACAGCTGTGATTAGTGCTCACCCCATCCATTCCCTCGATAACCATCACCACCATTATCACATGGGCAGCCTGGCGTCGCCGACACGGAGCTACCTCTACCACCAGGGTAGCGGCCACTCACGTCCGCATGCCTGCGCTTCCCCCATCTCCCATCTAGACAGGGTGGACTCTACAGGTGAGACGCCGCCCCCTGCTGGACGGCTGAGTGGCAGGGCAGCACAGGACTCATTCATCAATTTGTCATTGGCTCATTCATCCACATTCAGCCGCCATCTTTTTTCACTTTCCTATTTTGGTCCTCTTGAGTGTAACTAACCCTCTTCTCTGACCTCTCTGCCTACTTTAATGATTGTTTCATTCTTACTGCTCAACTCCACTTTTTCACTTAAATAAAATAAACTGAACAGCCAGACATGCCAAAGTTAAGAATAAATAGTAGTCAAGTAAACAGAAAGTTAAAAATACTGAAAATGTACTAGATTTTCTCATTTATTTATTTAACATCATAACATAATAAATGCATTTATGAGTTCTTATTTCACAAAGTAAGCAAATTGTATTTTTACTGTGATTTTCCAGAGCCTGAATGTTCAATGGGAATTGTTTATTTGTTCAAACAACAGTGCAAATATGAAGATTATTAATGTTCACATTGGAGAAACCAGCTCATGAATTATGAAATATGTTAACAGTTCAACGATAAGTTGATTGTCGACTGAGCTCAATGTTTTGTATAAAGGAAAGACAGAAGCTACTTCACAAACCCTAACTGACGTTTCCCAGTTACACTAAATCTGTACAGCGGCTTTATGAGGCAGGTTGGAGTTCTGGCTTATGAATGCAAAACCCATCAGCTCATTGTCTCCCCCCATGCGTCCCCTCTCCAGAGTCGGTAAGGAACACCCCCAGTTCGGAGCCCCTCCCTCCAGCCACCGCCTCCTCCCAGGTCTCCTGCCCCTCGGAGATCATGGTTGACCCTGAGGGCAGCTACCACGGCTCCACCACCACAGAGGAGGAGCCCAGCTACTCCAGCAACCTGCCCCCGCACCGCTCAGCCCACCCGCACGCCCACGCCCACCCGCTCAAGAGCTTTGCTGTCCCAGCAATCCCAGCCACCAGCCACCCGTCGTACGAGTCGCCCGCCCTGCCCAGCACGCCCCTGCTCGCTCAGTCTGGTGAGAAGAAACAGACACACTCGCACGTAGAAAACACACTGGTTTCGTGGTCTAACCAGTAGACGTAAACATTTGATGTGACTCAATGTCACTTTGGAGAATTCATTTCATGAGGCAGGTGTTTGTTGCGTTCACTGACTATTTTTGATTTCACAGGGCCGCCCACTCACCCCCACGTTGTTAAAACAGCCTCCATTGGAACACTTGGAAGGACACGAACACCGATGGTGGTCACTGTGCCCAATGCCCCTGACGTCCCAGAGACCAGCAAGATGTTGGAAGATGTAGACAGCGTGAGTATAGCGCCCCGCTCTGGCTGTTTGTAGCAACGCAGTCTGTTTTTTGGCCGAGTGGTAAATATTTGTAATATTTATTCAGTCCTGTTTTAAAAAAAAATATTCCAATCACACATTCCTTCCAAATCCATGTCAGTTATTTTGGGCACTGGACTGTACGGTTACTTTCAACTGCACATTGGTTTTAACCACATTTTCTATTTGTTCTTTCTCTCTTTTTATTCTTTCCAACTTCAATCTCACCATTCTTTTTATTTTGTCGGCTGCATTTGATCATTTATTTTAATTCCAAATAACTGATCTTAACAAAAACCCTTAACTGGAATGATTTTAATTTTTTACCATTTTCTCTTGGGTGCTGGATGTTTTTGCTTTTGTCTGCTGCCTCTTCTTATTTTTCCATCATTTACGACGCTTCAGTCCCATTGATCCATCCCCCAGCTCGCCTCACCCCACCCATTCCACTCCCCCTGCCCTCTGCGAAAGATCCCTGACTGACCCTCTCCTCCTCTCGTCTCCTCCCCTCTCTTCTCCTCCCTCTCCCCGCCTCCAGGTGCTTGCCTCCCTCCCCCCCTGCCCCTCTCCCGCCCCTCGCAGTAACCCTGTTCCTCTCCCTCAGAACTACGAGCCCGACGAGCTGACCGAGGAGATGGCCCACCTCGAGGGCCTGATGAAGGACCTGAACGCCATCACCACAGCGCCATGAGCACGCACACACACACACACACACAGACACACCTCTCTCCGTCATCTACACACACACACACACACAAACATACAGAAAGACACACACACACTCTCAAGTCAAACAAACGCAATCAAACGCAAACCTTTTGAGCCAGAGGCTGGTGGACACAAAATGGCTTCTTGTGCCCAAGAGAACTCTCACACCCCCCTGCAGAGAAAAGAAAACTCCAGACTGAAACTCAGAAACTTTTTTTGGCTTACATTGCTCAGTCTCAGGAGATCGCCATGAGAGGGAAAAAAGTGAGAAGCTTCATCTTTTTATGAAGAACCATTCTCAGAGACAATGAACACTAAAAACATTGGTCGCTTTCAACCAGAAGATTGTGAATTTTTTCCTCAGCAAAAATACGTACGGTAGGTTTTTCTGTGGCGAACGCTCGCTCACGGCGAGAAAACGGTTGATTCAGTGTCAAGTGAAATGGAGAAAGTCCAAAAATATGCTGGTTTCGATGTCGGTGCTCATGCGGCGCAGTCTACACACAGTGTTTGTTTGATCCGTGTTTTCTTTGTGCATTTTGTATAACTATTGGGCCGTTTCAGTGACGTGAACATTGGATATCAGCCTCCTTTTACAAGCCGACATTATTCATAAAAAATTTTGTTTTTACCCCTTGTGTCATATATTGTGCCATGACTTTCTATTATTTTCTATGTTATTATATTATTTTTTTTACACACATATCCTTATAAACATGTACATATGTTGTTTTTTTGTTTTTTAAACTGCCTCATCCTTTTTGATGTTTCCCATTGTTTCATCATCATTATTATTATTATTTGGAATGAAAATGGGATTATAAATGAGTCCTGAAGCTCAGTTTTCATATCAACAGGAGCGAGAAGCCTGACGTGTTTCTACAGTACATTCTCCTCTGGCATTGTGTTGCCCCCTTTGTACATTAAAATGTCCTTTTTTTCAGTCTTTTGTTTGTTGTGGGAGCTCCGTTTTAAAAGCCTTACCAACGTGTTTGTGTGTCGGAGGGTCGGGACGACTCGGCCCTCCGCAGATGTCGCACCTCTGCGTCTCTCTGTGGGACTTGACAGTTTCTCCTCACAGGTCTGAGGTACCTAGGACTCAGGGCACTGACCCCCACCCCACCTAAAAACACATTAAAAAAAACATCACATGGCACCTGCTTAATCAATCTCCTGCATCAGACCAGTTATCTTTTATACGAAATGTTCGATCAGATGTGTGTGTGTGTCATTTCCAAAAGACAATATTTGGTTTCAGACATCTGTGCAGCTGAACCAAGTGTGTTTGTTTGCTCTCCCCCCTGCTGTCCATCATCCAATGCCACGACCTGGTTGTTTTACGAACCTAATACGATGCACAGATGTTGGCCTTTTGAATGGGACTCCCAGATTTTTTTTTTTTACATGGTAGTTTTTGTATGAAGAAAAAAAAGAAGCTTGTTCTATACACAAATCCAATGTAAAAAGGAAAAAAATGTTCATCTAAGAAACTAGTTTTTCATCACCCTCTTACCCAAAGAAATTTGTCATTTGCAATCATAGTAATTTGCTCTACTTTTTGTGAATACCATATTTCTCATTAATGTGCATCATCATGAATGTCAATATAACTGTAAGAGATTTTAACTATGGATACAAACAAGGAACAAGTTTTGTTGGTGGGAAAAAAAAAGATTGAAAACAAAGAGGGGAGAAAAAGGACCGGACTCCATTTGGGAAATAATCTATTGAGTTGTAAACAGTTGAACCTGTATTGCACTTTTTCACAATTTTTGAAAAGTACATTTCTTACATATCTTGTGTTTTAAATATCAGAAGCTGTTTGTGTAACGTAGTGTCCTAGGTAAGCAGCAGGCAGCTGGTCTTGTTTTTATGTTTATTTTTTATTTGCTTCAGAGATGATATGAATTTGAGCAGCCGGGTTGTTTACTTTGTGGCTCATGAGGAATTCTGTTGTTGCTTGTTCATGTACAGAGCTTTCTTTGCTTTCTGTAGAAAAAAGATCTGTGGCTTTTTAAAAAATGTTGGAAAAAAAAAGGTTTGGAAAAAAAGATGTTTTTTTATTGGTGCTCCTATACATTGTGTATACAAACTATTATGAATACTAACAAAGTAAATGATTCTGCTCGTCTTCTTTTCATCAGACATCATCAGGTCACTGAACAGAAATAGGTTGTGATACTCTAATAGTCTACATTACAAACTACACAGTTACTCTGCTTACGACACTCAGTCAAATTCAAACTTTTAAATGGTCTGTTTATGAAGCCCTTTTATAGTCTTGATGACCAAACAAAATACTTTACAGTGCAGTTCTGACATTCACTCTGTCATCCATGTGCATTATTTTGTCCATCGCACATCAGTCACACAGCCGTCAGGGGCAATTTGAGCTTCTTGCCTAAGGACATGGAAAGGATCGAACTCTTGACCTTCTGGATAGAGGACAACCGGCTCTGAGCCACAGCTGTAGAGCTGTATATCCCATATACAAATTACAGCATGCTTCATATGCTTCAACAATCTGTACAATGTGCTACATCCGCTGTCACTGACCCTCGACTGGACTGAGGATAAATAATGCAGAGTAATTCGTTTTTACTTCAACCAGCAGAAACACATTTAAAAATTGTTGACACTGTCAGATGTGATATCCCTGCATTATTAAATTTACTAAAATAACTGAACCATAAAACTCACCTTAAAACATTATTCAAATGTTTTAGTTGTTTTTATAATTTTCCTGAAATACTGCAAGATGCTATTAAAAGTATAAAAAAGGACAAGATGGAGAAAGATAAAGATAAAGCAAGCAAAGTCATTAATCAACAGATTGAATTGAAATTTAAAATCTCCACTGTATTACTTAGGCTAATGTACATAAATGTGCTTTATTGTAGTCAACACACAAACATATAGGTAGCACAACATAGTAAGTACTCAAGTGGCACACAGTAAGTACACAACAGAGAACGAAGTAACGACACACAGTAGATTGGATATGAGTAGTGCAAAAAGGAATAGTGCAAAAAGTTTATTGTCAAGTAGATTTAAACATGTAAGGAATTTACGGTGACATGTTTGTGCAAGCATTAATAAAAAAATGAAATTAGAAAACAATATAAAAATATTATGGAGTGAAAATTCTATGAGTAGATTGATGTGAGGGGTTTTATATATGGACAATATATATATTTACAATTTGAAGTAAATTGTGAGCAGATTAATTAGTTGCAGATACAAATAAAGATCAGGATTTATTGAATTAAAAATAAATAAAATGTTTCAGTCTGTGCTGCATCTGAGGGTCTGGCCTGCAGTACCACTCGCTCACCTGAAGGAGTCGCTGCAGCCGATTGCCCCCCCCCCAGCTTCCGACTTCCGCTTACGTCAGCCCCCCTCCACAACAACAGGCAGTATGGCGGCCAGCTCAGACCGGAGTCCTCCTCCTCTCCCCGCAGCCAAGGAGCCAGAGGCCGGAGCCGCCGACATGGCGGACGGAGACAGCGACGAAGGAGAGGACATCTTCGTTAATAACGTACGTTCACGGCTCGGCCATGTTCGTCACAGCCCGTGTGGTGGTGCTGGTTCGATGTGCAGTGAGTGAACCCGGGGACTCGGAGCCGGGGAGCCCGCCTCTCTGTCTGCTGTGACCCGGAGCCGCCGCGGCACGAACACCCGCTGACAGAGGAGAGACGTGTCCGGTGTCATGTCGGAGCAGCCGGTGTTTCTGGAGGATTTTAGGATAAGTTCGTTTCCGTGAACAGCTCGAGATTGAGGCTGTTCAGTTTGAGCTCTGCTCATAGCTCTTTGGGCCTGTTTTGATGTTAATGTGTTGATGTGAGCATCTCCAGCTTTTATATCAGGTTATGGTTTTTTAATTTGACATAAGGAAACTAACCTGCAGCTGTCATGACCCAGTGTTTACATCCCCAGTGTGTAGAAATACTCCATCACAAGTCCAAGACCTGGATACTAAACAAACTGACTAGATTCGAAAAGAAAGCACTTATTGTCACTGTACAAGGGAAAGCATATATGTGTACATATCAACAGCATGTCCCCTGTTATTGACGCATCATTATATTATGAATTGTTTAGGTGTTATTTTCCTGTTGTAGCTGCTGGAGGTGCAGCTGCTTTTAACCTTTTTATACGTAAGTATAGTGAAGTGGCCCTAACCTTCGAACTGGGGTCCCTCAACGGTCACAAGATAAATCCGATGGGTCTGGAGAATATTATAAATTCTGTTACGTTACATTACTATTACAAATCTGTGTCTAATCTTCAGAGTTCTGTCACGCTCTTTCATTTAAATGCAACCATGTGAGAGGTTTAGAGGCAAAGTTCCCTTCTGGCAACTGATAGTCATCTGGAACGGGGCAAGGAGTAACTTCAACAATGTGTTTTACAAAATTTAAGTAAAATCCTGATGAAAATCTAGTCGCTGAAGCTCTGAGATAAAATGTAGGGTGGTAAAATGTACAGTACTTCCCATAGAATAATGACAACATTTGTTCTTGGTGTCATTTTCGACCATACCACCCAGCCGAATCCACTGAGTTACTTTACACCACTGTCTCTGTCTCTAAAAGGTCGTGACAGTCAGCAGACAGGATTGACTAAGTGCTCATCTAATGTCAGGGCCGCTCTGTGGTGTTTCTGTGGCTCGTTCAAAACTCGTGTCCTTCCTGTCTGCAGAGTAACCCTGTGGCTGTGAGTCGAGAAGTTTCTCAGCCAGACCGTGTCAGTGAAGAGCCTCCGGATTTGTTCAGTGAAGAGCAGGCCAGCGACACAAACACCAAATCCAACGGAGTTCACTCTGATGATGACAACGACCTATTTGCTGGTTAGGAAACCATTTATACCTACAATTTCTATTCCTCCTACTTTTAACATTCCAGCATTTATAGGTTCTTAAAAGAATTCAGAGTCTGGTTTATTTTGAGCCTAGGTCATGCTTACACTGTTTTAATACAAATCTAAAAGGGGAATTCCACAGATTTTCACACACAGGATTCCTGTTTATTTTACCAGTCAAGACCCGGAGCAGGTTTTAAAACATTCAACATGATTCACACAAGTGTCCGCTACGTGTATCATTATATACCCTACAGCCATGGATAGATCTAACCCCAAGTTATATATTTATCAATTATTAAGCTGTAATGCATTAGATATGTACAAGCAAACCATGGATTTTCCACAGTGGATAATTCAGTAACCAGAACACTTTTCTGGACAAAGTGAATGTGGTTCTTCAGTATGAAATTGTGTGTAGTGTGTTTGATCTTGACTGTCGCATGCCACTCATCTGATTTCCTTTTCTTTTTGGATGAAGAGAAACATACATGAATCTAAAAGCTTTTCTTTCTCCAGATGCACACGTGGAGCTGAGCACAGACAAGTCTGGTAGCTCTGGAAGGAAGGAACTCTCCACTTCCTCTGGCCCTCGTCCTGCCCCCTCAGCTGCTCTGAGCCCTGCACCCATGCAGGCCACCTCCTTGGAGCAGGTACAGGCCAGAGGAACAACTCACTTTGAGTTGTATTTACAGAGTTTGAATTATATCACTAATCTTCTCTTTAATTGCAGCTCGAGGATGAAGCGAAGGATAGTTTTGATTTGGATGTTGCTGTCACCAACCCTGAGAAAGTTGGTTAGTTCTTCTTTTTCCATACGGTCTCAAAATTATGATACAACTATCTGAACTTTGACTTTGTTCAGATATCATTTGGAAAGCATGGTCTATGATATAAATTCTCTAAATTCTGTAAGTGCATCACCAAAATCTTATCAATCCTCATTGTCAATGTCTGATGTTCTGTTCTAGGGGATGGCATGAATGCGTATGTGGCCTACAAAGTGTCCACTAGGGTGCGTAGTCAAGCTTGTGTTGATGCATTTATTAATTTCACATAACTCCCACAACTGCTAATATGTAAACATTTTCACTTGTGTTTCTATGTTTTATTTTATCTGAATACTCTTTGCCCTTTGTCTTTCATCAGACGTCCTTGGCCATGTTCAGTAGCAAAACCTTCTCTGTGAGGAGGCGATTTAGTGACTTCCTGGGTCTTTATGAAAAGCTGTCAGTTAAGCAGTCGCACCATGGTTGCATCATTCCACCACCACCCGAGAAAAGTGTTGTAGGTGCGCACAATGAATTTTTCGTTACTATCGACATGTTTTGCACCTTTTTTGTCTTTTTGGTGACGGTAATTTCCACCAACAGGAATGACCAAGGTGAAGGTGGGAATGGATGATCCGTCGTCAGTGGAGTTTGTGGAGAGAAGAAGAGCAGCTCTAGAGAGGTAAGGATCTGATCATTCACACCGTCCTTTGATCAAAGTTTAAATGTGTTTCTGTTCCCTCCAAGGCCAGGCCTGTTGTTTTTATGTAAATATTTTATGTGCTCATTTTGAGGCACTTTTGATTAACTTTACATTACCACCACTATGTTTCTTACAGATATCTTCAGAGAATCGTCTGTCACCCATCGTTAATACAAGACCCTGATGTCCGTGCATTCTTGGAGAGAGAAGATGTGTGTATTTTAATTATATAAAAAGACTTGTTAGATGTTGGACAATGACTTCATCACTAATTGACTAAATCTCCAACATCTTGAGAAGGAATGCTAAAAAAACTTCTTGACATATTGCCAAAATCTGTCAGATGCTATATGTGTGTTGGTGTGTGTTTTCAGCTTCCCAGGGCTGTGAGCACCCAGGCGCTGAGTGGAGCCGGGTTCCTCAAAATGATCAGTAAGGCATCAGATGCTGTCAACAAGATGACCATCAAGATGAATGAGTCCGACACTGTAAGAGTCTCTGGATGAAGTGTTTGACAATTTTTGTTTTATAACAAAGTACTGTTCATAAAGGGAATTGTTAGGTACCTTAATTTCAATACTGATGAATATAATTGTTTCTGTTTAGAAGAATATTGAGGCAAATAAAAAAGGACTGTTATTGTATGAATTGAAATCATACAAATTTTGGAAAGATAACAGTGTGATTATTATATTTTAATCACAGTATATGGTGGTATTGTAACAGCCGTACTTTAAATATATGTAGAATAAAACAGGCCTGCTATTGTAGATATGATTATGTT